CACCGTGGCCATGAAGCGTGACGGGAAGTGGAAAAATGATTACTCCATCGGGTCCAACGGCTTCAAGGGCATCCTGTGAATGAAGGTAGGCGAATGTCTTTTCGTGCTGTTCGAGCTCATCGCCACGGACCGCAACCAGTTCGAGTGCAAAGCCAACTCCGACAATCTCTCCAAGTTCGGCATTGACGCTGAGGCTGCGACGGCCATGATCTCAACCTCGATGGAATAGGACGCTCCCCTGTTCGAACCGAGGACTGATGAGTCTTCCGCAGTCAAGGGATATCTGCCGAGCAGCTACGATCAGAGTGGGATGATCATCGAGAGCTCCTCTGACTGCGGCTCCTCTTCCTCCTCTCCCTGCCCTTCCAGCCCGTCTTCTGCCTGCAGTGCCTGTTCTTTCCCTGGCCAGCCCTTCAATTTCACGCAGTACTTCTCCGCCGTAACGTGGAATGTGCAGACTCTCTTCGGTTCCGTCTCGTCGCCGATTAAGTCGATCGTCAACGTGATGTCGAAACTTCGCCGTCTCATCCCCAAACGCGCCATTATCGCTCTTCAGGAAACTCACGGGCCCCAGCAGGATCTCATGTATTTGAAAAAGGAGATCGAGAGTCTGCACGCGTACGGCATTTTCTTCTCTTGTGGCATCAAAGGTGGTTGCGTTATTATTATCCATCCTCGCTTTGCCTCGTTCTTCTCTCATTTTCGGCATCGTGTTCTGCGGAGGGGCCGAGTTCACGAACTCTTGCTGCAAGGGCGGCACGGCACTGTGCAGATCATCAATGTACATATCGACCCCAGCCTTCCCATATCTGCTCGTCAACACACGCTTCGTTTCGTCAAGTCGACAGCCCTCTCATCCTCATCTGGGACCTCATTCATCATGGGCGACTTCAATTTCTGTGCGCTTGGGGAGGGGGGAACGCATATCGGTGGGGAGCATACTTATCACACCCATGGGCTCGCAAAATATTTCGCCCGCCTCTTCCCTGGGTTTGCCGAAGTTTCCCAGCCTGCCTGTTCACATAGACGCACCCAGATTCACGACAACGTTCGGTCTATCCAGTCCGTGGCGCGTCTAGATAGGATCTACACCAACATGTATAGCGCGTCCCTGATCGACTTACAGGCCAACTCGCTCACGCTCGCCGCTGTGTGCGACCTCGAGTGGCCCTCCGACCATGTTCCTGTCTGCCTCTCGCTCTCCCCCTTCCAGGCCTCGGGGGCTCCGCGGATTGCATCGTGGGTTTGCCGTCGTCCTGCTTTCCCTCGGGCGATACAAAAAGTTCTGCATATGGTTCCCCCTCT